TTTGGTTTTTTTCAGCAATTCCACCCGTGAACCATGGTTCACGACTGAATTTTTTTATTTTTTCCTTCATCTGTCAGATACTTTTGAGAGAGCTGGGACAGCTCTCTAAGGGGGTAGTGTGACAGCCTGCCTTGTTACCTGCAGTCAGCTGATCACCCATTCAGGCCTAGCGCTTGTGGCCATGTATATAGACCTTCCTGAGCTCCCCGAGCTTCCTGTTTCCTCTCCTCACTTTGTATTCTAAGGTCAGAATTCATCAGTTCGTCACAGCTAGCTATTATACGCTCTTTTAATAATTTTCGCGCCGAACTCGCCGGCTCTTTTTATTAAGTTCAAATAATCACCGATTATAAGGCCTTAAAGTACTTTATGACTTTTAAGACTTTCAACGCTTGTTAAGCACGTTAAGCAAAGCTCTTTTCCGATTATAACTTTATTATTACGTATAAACCAAATAAAGACAACCTTTTGGCTAACGCGTTAATACGTCGCACCGAAAAGCTCTTTTCTTAAAACAGCTTTAAACGCACTTAGCGTTTGCAAACGTTGCTCCGCGCCGATAACGTTGACTTACGACTTTTAATCGAAAAGCTACGTTAACTTACGCTTTCGGAGACCGCCGTTATTATCGAAGAGATCGCGGAGCTCTTACCGACGTTCCGAGTTATTAACTAAGTTTTAAAAGCTAATCGGACCGCTTTTAGTTTCATAGCACTTCGAATTCAAGCTTTTAAAGCTAAGTCTTTACTCGTAAACTACGGTTTACGAGCTAAACTTATTATAAAAAGCGATTTGCTGTTTTAAAACGGCCGCTTATTAGTTCTCGACGTTTAAAACTTGCGCTCGTTATTCGTTCGAGAAGTTTACGATTAAGTATTTACAATATACTTTAGCTTTCGTAAAACTTATAAGCTTTTAGCGGCATAATATTATTAGTACGGTATAGCTAGATTCGTCAATTAGTATTGCCGCAATTGCTACGCTTATAAACGAGCTTTAATGCTTCGCGATAAAAAACTTAATTTGCTTTATTCTTTCTCGGTCTTTTCGCGCTTTTAAGAGCACGTTATTATAGATTTTTATAGCTTTAATAAAGACAAATACGGCTACGACAACGTTTTTGTAATAATCGACCGCTTCTTTAAGCAAGCAATCTCGATCTTTTGTTATAAGTCTATCGACGCTAAAGGCTTCGCTAAGCTTTATATTTATCACATTTATAAGTATTTTAAAGCTTTTTTGACATTGACTTTTAATAAAAGACTTTAATATTAGTCCGAGTTCTAAAAAGAATTTAATAAGATTTTCGGTATTAAACTGACTTTTAATACCGCCGTATACTTTAAAACTAACGGTCAAATCGAAATCTATAACTAGTATTTGCAAAAGCGCCTCCGTCCTTTCGTAAGCTATTATTAAGACGATTAGAGTGAGTTTTTTCTTATAATAGACTTCGCTTAATTAACGCTCTTTTACGACTTTTTCGGCGGTCTTTTTTTTTTAAAGTAATTTACGGCTACGCTTTTCGAACTACTTAAAATTAAAGCTTAAAACAACTTAACGATTAAACCCTTTTTCGCAAGCTTAATTAAAACGAAGCTCGCGCTTACGTTAACCGCTATTTCGAAGCTTAAAACCTCGTTAAAAAGCACTTTTAACGCGCTTAAAACTGCATAGCTAAACAAGTTAATAAATCGAAGCGCTCGATTGATTTCGACGTTAATAATAAAGTTTAGTTAGATATACGCTCGTTCTTTATTTCTCGACTATTAAAAAAGCTCGATAATCTTACGAACGGATTGTTCGAAGTTACCGATAACGTTTATAATAGCTTTAAACTTAAGCTCTTCGAGTTAATAAAAGTTCACTCGGTCTTTTACTTCGGACGACTACGTAAAGCTTTTAATAATTTCACTTTCGAGCAAATCATTTTTAAACTTAACTCGATTAATATTATTAGCGAACTTAAGTACGAAGTAAAGAACATCTTAGCTGTACGCTAAATTAAGAAGCACTTTAAGTACCGCGCTTCTTAGCTCGGCCGCGATATTAACTTTACTTAATACTTCGCTTTTGATTTTATATACGCTCTTTTTAAAGTACGTGACTTTTACTTAGAACACAAAAAGCTCTTTGGCCTTTCCGCGAAGCTCTTCGAATAGATCAAGGCTTATTCGGACGGTATTAATAATTACGATTATTTAAGCAGTGATAAAGCAATAAATAAACGCTCGAAGACGAGCTTTTTTCGAACGAAAAGGTAATGTAACGATACGTTAAGTCTTTTAGACGCACTTTATATGCGTTAAGCTACTTCTTTTTTTTTTTCTTTTGTATTCTTTATATTCTTTTATTCTTCGCTTTTGATTTATGAACTATAGTTTACGAGTTTTTAACGCTTTTACTTTCGTGTATATAAACCTTAATTACCTTCGACTTTTATATTCAGTAGTTGTTGATTCTAAGTTATTACTTTAAGATTCTCTTAAGCTCTTATGTGAACCTCCGCGCTCCCGTGAGTTCCTTCAGGTAATCGCTTAAGGTCGTCACAGTTATCTCGATCTTCGAACTAAAGTAACGACTTTTTAAGTAGTACTTATCGAGTATATCGAATAGCATGCTCGATAGATACAAATCGAAGAAAGATCGCTTTTAAAGCAATAGCTTCGAAGCTTATATATAAAAGCACTTAATTGTTAGCTTAGCGTATATCGAATATTCTTCGAAAGAGCACCGTAAAAGCATATAGTCAATAGCTTAGCGTATAACGTGAACTTCGAATATATAGCTTTTCGCAAAAGAAGCAAGTTTAAAAAGGGTATAAAGACTAACTTTTAGTTCGATTCTTTACGTAAGTTATTAAATATATATAAAAGAGAAGAGCTCCGATATATACTTAACGTTAAATCAAGAGATATATATAAATATAGCTATAATAGAATCGTAAGTAAATAAAGAAAGAAAAGGAAAACGATCGAAGGACACTCGAATGTGTGCTATAAGTACGTGTATTATATTATATGTGATATAGTGCTAGTTTAAAGAGGAACCAACTACTCGTTTATATAAGAGCCTGCACGTGACTTAACCACGTGCTTAGCAGGGCCAGAGCATGCAGCGCACCCACGTGACAAAGGTGCCTAGCATCAGTATTATATACATAGACAAAACAAATACAGAGCCGCAACTCTACCACAGTAGTAGTAATAGTCGAGGAGCTCACCCGTGAACTAGGGTTCACGAGCCACTTAGCATGCCTCGCTTAGCATGTCAGCAGTCAAAAGACCCCCAACTTGACAAATAAACCTATTAGCTAGCTAGTACACGTGATTCCTTTTAATCACATAAAAGGAATCAGTGTGACAGCCTGCCTTGTTACCTGTAGTCAGCTGATCACCCATTCAGGCCTAGCGCTTGTAGCCATGTATATAGACTTTCCTGAGCTCCTCGAGCTTCTTGTTTTCTTCTCTTCACTTTGTATTCTAAGGTCAGAATTCATTAGTTCGTTATATTATATAAAGTCCTTCGATTAGGTCGTCGTATTACAGCTTATTATTATTAATTATTATTATAGCTTATAGATTACGGCTTATTGATTATTATTAAAAACGGAATGAGTTACTTGTTAGGTGCTTTACGGTCTTCTTTTATTGCTTATAGATTATTGTTTTTTTTACGACCTTACCTTTTCTTTAGCTTTTCCGACTTAAAAGAGCTTCTCTCAATTTTTTGCACTTCGGTTGTAAGACGAACTCTCTTCCTCATTCTTTTTCTTGGCGTTTCCGACACTTAAACGCCTCTTTATTTCTATTATTATATCTTTCCACGAAGACGACGGCCCTTCTCCTTTTACGAGAATCGCTTAATTAAAGTCTTTCGTAAAGCAATTACGAATGGCCTTTCGCTAGCGCAAATGCGTCTTTCCGGATCTCGATAAGTTTAACGATATAGTTTAACGGTAAGATACTTAGCTCTTTTTAATCAAAGCCAAGCTTCTTATCGACGGTAAAGCTCTTGGCGGACCTATTACGCAGTTTTATTACGTTTACTTTAATATAGAACCCGGTCTTCAAGCAATAGTTTTGACTTAATTAGCTTTAGCTCAAGACTCCGGCAATTAAGATTATAATACTCTTTTAAATCAGCTCGCTTTCGCTTACGACAATCTAAACAAAATTCAAAAGGTTAAAGATAAGCTGCTTATTTGCAAGCAAAATACAAACGCTCTTTATATTTACGTCTTACGCTTCGAACGACTTTTATACGCTATTCGCTATCAGACTTGGCCCGACGCTAATAAGATTATTGCGTTCCGCAATAGTTTAAACTCAATTATACGGACTCGTTTGAATAGCTAATTAACTTTCTTAATTATATATACCGAATACGTGTGTGACGACACGCCAGGTCTCCTGGACGCACCTCACATGCGCCAAGCTACTTCCCTCCTTTTTGTGACGACCTTAAGCGATTACCTGAAAGAACTCACGGGAGCGCGGGGTTCACATAAGAGCTCAAGAGAATCTTAAAGTAATGACTTAGAATCAACAACTACCGAGTGTAAAGGTCGAAGGTAGCTGAGGTCTATATACACGAAGGTAGAAGCGCCAAGGACTCGTGAACTATGGTTCATAGGTTAAAAGCGAGGAATGAGAGAATACGAAGAATACGAAAGGAAAAAGGAGGGAAGTAGCTTGGCGCATGTAAGGTGCGTCCAAGAGACTTAGCGTGTCGTTACACTACTTCTTCGTCCGAAAAAAGCTCGTCCTCGAGCGTTTATCTATTGCTTTATCACTACTCAAGTGATCGTAGTTATTAACACCGTTCGAATAAGCTTTAATTTAATCGAAGAGCTTCGCGAGAAGGCCGAGGAGCTCTTTATGTTCTAAGTGGAAGTCACGTACCTTGAAAAGAGCGTACATGAAGTCGGAGGCGGGGTACTAAGTAAGGTCAATGTCGCGGCCGAGCTAAGAAGCGCGGTACTCGAGGTGCTTTTTAGTTTAGCGCACGGCTAAGATGTTCTTTATTTCGTACTTAAGTTCGCTAGTGATATTAATCGGGTCAAGTTTAAGAATGATTTGCTCGGGGGTAGGGTCATTAAGAGCTTTTCGTAGCCGTCCGGGGTAAAAGACTAGGTGAACCTTTATTGACTCAGAGAGCTTGAGTTTGAAGCTGCTATAAACGTTGTCGGTAACTTCGAACGGTCCGTTCGTAAGGTTATCGAGCTTTTTTGATAGTCGGGAGGTAAAGAACGAGCGCATATCTAACCAAACCTTATCATTGACGTCGAAGTCAACCGAGCGCCTTGATTTATTAGCTTGTTTAGCTATGCGGTCTTGGGCGCGCTAAAGGTGCTCTTTAACGAGGTTCCAAGCTCCGAGGTGGCGGTTGGCGTAAGCGCGAGCTTCGTCTTGGTTAAGCTTGCGAGAAAGGGTTTAATCGTCAGGTCGTTCTAAGCTTTAATTCCAGGTGGTCCGAGAGGCGTAGCCGTGAATTACTTTAAAAGGGGAAAGGCCGCCGAAAGAGTCGTAAGGGAGCGTCAATTGGGCGAAGTCCATTATAAGAAAGAACTCGCTTTAATCGTCTTAATAGTAGCTTACGAAAGGACGAAGGCGCTTCTGCAAGTACTGGTTGTAGATTTCGGTCTGACCGTCAGTCTTAAAGTGTGCGGCGGTGCTAAGGGTCAGTTTGGTGCCGAAGATTTTATTGAATTCTTTTTAAAACTCAGACCAGTATTAAGGTCTTCTGTCAGAAGTCAGCGTTAGAAGAGCTCTAAAATACTTATAGATGTGGTAGATATAAAGCTTAGCGAGGTTTTTAACGTCGATAGACTTGTGATAAGAGATCGAGATTGCTTGCTTAAAGAAGCGGTCGATTACTACAAAGACGTTATCGTAGCCGTATTTGTCTTTATTAAAGCTATAAAAATCTATAGTAACGTGCTCTTAAGAGCGCGAAGGGATCGGGAAAAGTTGGAGCAAGCTAAGTTTCTTATCGCGGGGCATTGAAGCTCGTTTGCAAGCGTGGCAATTGCGGCAGTACTAGTTGACGAATCTGGCTATACCGTGCTAATAGTACTATGCTGCAAGGAGCTTATAAGTTTTGCGAGAGCTGGGGTGTGCCGTAAATACTTGGTCGTAAACTTCTCGGACGAGTAACGAGCGCAAGTTTTAGACGTCGGGAACTAATAAGCGGCCGTTATAGAGCAGCAAGTCGCCTTTTATAATGAGTTTAGCTTGTGAACCGTGGTTTACGAGTAAAGACTTAACTCTAGAAGCTTGAATTCGAAGTGCTGTGAAACTAAGGGCGGTCCGATTAGCTTCTAAGACTTAATTAATAATTCGGAATGTCGGTGAAAGCTCCGCGATCTCTTCGATAGTGACGGCGGTCTCCGAAGGCGTAGGTTAGCGTAGCTCTTCGGTCAAGAGTCGTAGGTCAACGTTGTCGGCGCGGAGCAGCGTTTGCAAGCGTTAGGTGCGCTTGAAGCTGTTTTAAGAAAAGAGCTCTTCGGTGCGACGTATTAGCGCGTCAGCTAAAAGGTTGTTTTTACTTGGTTTGTACGTGATAATAAAGTTGTAATCGGAAAAGAGCTCTGCTTAACGTGCTTAACGAGCGTTAAAGGTCTTAGAAGTCATGAAGTACTTTAAGGCCTTATGGTCGGTGATTACTTGAACCTAGTAAGAGGAGCCGGCGAGTTCGGCGCGGAAGTTACTAAAGAAGCGTATGATAGCCAGCATCTCTTTGTCGTGGACGATATAGTTGAGCTTAGCGAGAGCTATAGTTTTAGAGTAGTAAGCGACTGGTAGCTAGTCGGAACCATGCTTTTAAAAGAGGACTGAAGCGATTACGCCGTCGGAAGCGTTAATCTCTAGCATATAAAAAAGGTTTTGGTTGTAGTGCTATAAGATTGGCGCAATAGTCAGGGCGAGCTTCAAGAGGTCGAAGCTTCTTTAATACTGAGAATTGAATGAAAAAGGAACGTTAGCCTTAGTCAAGTGCATTAAAGGCTTCGCGATCACGCCGTAGTCTCGAATGAATCGGCGGTAGAAGTTGCAAAATCTAAGGAAGCTTTGGACGCCTTTGACGGTCGTAAAGAGCGCTTAATACTCTATTATCGACGTCTTGTTCGGATCTACTTCTAAGCCTTCGGTAGAAATGATAAAGCTTAAGTATTTTACTTTAGTTGTGCTAAATTCGTATTTTTTAATGTCAGCCTAAAGGCTAGCGTCGTCGAGTCGTTAGAGGACTTGGCGAACGTGGTAAGCGTGCTTTAAGAGGTCGGAGGAGTAAATCAAGATGTCGTTTAAATATGCCGTGCAAAAGATATCTAAGAAGTCGAAAAGGAAGTCATTCATATAGCGTTGGTAAGTGGCGGGTCTATTAGTTAGTCCGAATAAAAGAACCTTGCACTTGTAAGCACCGTAGCGTGTTTTGAATGTTGTGAGCTCTTCTAAAGCTGAGTCTATCCGTATTCTATGAAAGGCTTGCTGAATGTCGAGTTTCGTAAAGATTTTAGCTCTTGAAAGACGTGCGAAAGTCTTATCGATCAAAAGGAAAGGGTATCGATCTTTACGAGTAAGGTTGTTCAGCGCGCGGAAGTCAATACAAAAGCGAAAGGAACCGTCTTGCTTCTTAGCAAACAAGACTAGAACTGCAAATGGCGCTATTAAAGGTTCGATAAAACCTTTGTTAAGATTGTCGATAAGGTAGGCTTTAGTAAGCTCTAGTTCAAGGATCGACATCTTGTACAATAATGAGTACCGAAGCGCCTTTTCCTTTCTCTCGAGAAGCTCGATTTTGTAGTCGTAAGGCTTGTGTGGTGCTAGCACGTTGCTAGCGGCCTTGAAGAACACGTGTGCGTAATCGGAGTATTCGGGAAAGATAAGAAGGTCGTTAATAAGCTCTAACAGTTCCGCTGCAAGGTTAATAGCAGAGATGGAGCCGTTAGTGAAGCGTGTTAGCGATGCTTGATAGTCAGCTTAAGTAGAAGCAATCGTCTGACGCTCGGAGATCAAGCAATCGAGCTCGTAGAGAGACGTAGAAAACAGTTCTACGTCTTTTTAGCAAGCGATCATATAAAAAGCGTGTCCGGAGACGCCGTTGATTTTGAGGTTTTTATTGATTTTATGCTTAGATGTTTAGCAAGAGCGTTTGACGGGTAAGAAAGGTTCTACAGAGGCGATATCGGTTGACATAAGCTTACGGTTCATCTAAGACATTGATTTAACGTAGTCCTTGAAAAAAGTGTTTTTCGTAAAGCGAAAGAGTGACGGCTTTACGAGAGGGTAAATAGAAGAAGGGGGTTCAACGATCTTAGAAGAAGAAGCGAAAGGAGGACGATTCCGAAGAGAAAGAAGTGATTCAGCGATTATTGTTGCTGCTTGATCCGCTCGTGAACTATAGTTTACGAGTGAATTAGCGTCGTAAGCTTTTTAAAGGCGGTCCAGGGCTCGATCACGCTTGTTAACGTCGTGTTAGTGACGAGCGTTTACCTTACGCTAGTTAAGGTGTATAATCTCAATGGGTTTAGCGTAGATAGCGGTCGGAAGGTTGGAACGAGGCTAATAGAGCTTGCGGCGAGCGCAATCAAAGAGAATCTAGTGCTCAGCTAACTATGCTCGTCCGAGGATCACGCTGTGATTCTTAAGGTTGGTGATAAGAAAAGGAATAAAAGATTAAACGCGCTTGTTAACCGTAAGGTTGAAAAGTGCAAAATGTGAGATAATAGCTTTACGAGCTCTATTGTATGACTTGACAAGGAATGGGGCCGGGAAGGGTTGAATCAAAGGTTTGAGAAAGAAAGAAAGCGATTTGAGTAGCGCTAAGTCAATCAGCGCGTACCTATTAGCTCTTGAATCGAGCAAAGCAGATACCTTATACGAAAGGCTATTCTTAGTGAAGGTGACGAGTATAGTCATGGCTTTGCTACTAAGAAGCTTCGTGAGGTCGAGGTATCGCATATCTCGAAGCTAGCTTAAGAAAAAGGCTTTGCTTAAGCCTCGACGTTTCTTTTATTGTCGGGAGCGTCGGGGTTAGCAAGAGGGAGCTCTTAGTGATCTTTAAGAGCGTCGGAGTAGAGCCCATCGTCCGAGTCATTCGAATAAGGGCCGTATTCGGGTCCAGCGCCGTATTCTATCTCGTTGACTGAGTGGTAGCGAAGGAGCTTCGGCGTATTCGAGTCTTTGCGGGACGATCTAAGGGTTTTGATTGCTGACTTAAGGGCGTTTCCGAGAGAAGAGAATTTGTTAGATCGATTGGATCGATCTGCACTAGCGCCAGGGCTATTAAAGGTTTAACGCTGAGAGGTAAGGAAAGAGACGGGGGCTAAGCTACCTTGGCGGTTCTCGTAATAAGTGATTTGCTTGACCGCTGCTCTTTAAGCCGAGCGGGATTCGATACGAGCTCTACTGTAAAAGCTCTTCGCGAATTAAGTATTATACTTAGCTTGTAGAGCATCGTAGAGCCTTGCAGACGCGTATTAGCCAGCAGCTAATTGTTAGACGGCGGTCTGAAAGTCCTTAAAGGTTGTAGTCTTAGCAAATTCTAAATAGAGCTGGTCGCGCAGCGTTTTGGTAATCTTGGAACGCAAGGCCTTACGTAATCGGTCTTCGTCTTTGATTTCGGCGGTAGCGGCAAGCTCCGAGAAAATAAAGTAGAAGTCTTAAAATTGCTAGTTAAGCTTTATATAGAGTTTTTCGAACTCAATTGACGCTTTAGCCTTCTTAACGAGGTCGTTCAAGAACTCGAAAGCGATCTAGACGAGTTCCGGGGCGGTTACGGGGTTGCTACGATCTATGACTAAAAAGGCCAAGAACAAATAAGCTGTTCTTTCGATTTGGTCAAAGACGTAGTTCTTGCGTTAGCGTTTTATGAAGAAGTATTCTTCGAAAGCTTTTAAGTTGTCGAAGACGCGGGCTTGCTAGTGACGTGCTCGATAGCTTACGCCGTTTAAGAGCTTCTGTTCAAGGTTAAGGATCCGCTCGATACGAGCGCGACCTTAAGAAGCTGAGGAAGAGGCTTTAAAGATGTTGAACTTAGCTAAAGTGCGAAGGTTGGTTGGCCTGTGAAGAGAAGGTGGTTCATCGTCGTCGGCGAAGAAGCGGCGAAGGTTAGCGGTTCTATAAGTAAAGGGAATGGCCTGGAGGACCGAGGGCTTGTATAGCTCTTTGCTTTTGGAATTATCTTCGAAGGAAACTTAAGGAAGCTTTGACGGGCGTTCCGTAGTTGGCAAGACCGCTTGGAGCTGGTCCAGTTCCTTTCGAGCTCGACGAGCCTTTTTTTTAGCCTTTTCGGCGAAGGTTTTTTGTTCGCTAACGCTTTTATCGAGCTCTTCGTTGCGGGTTTTCATATCTGCGAAGAGCTTTCTAAGTTCAGCGGCCTTTCGTTAGGACTAGAAGAGAGCTTAGTATTAGGCTAAAGCTTCTTCGGGGTTAGTAAAGGCCGAGGGATCATCTTCATCGTCTTGCTCACTAGTAGCTTCTTTTTAAGTAAAAGGAACTGCTAGTTGGGCCGTAAAGGAGGAGGAGGGAGCTGCTAAAGCAGCTTTAAGAGGTGTGCGGAGGATTTTGCTCGCGGAGCGAAGGTTGCTGTATTGTGTAGGTGCTATCTTTTAAGTTGTACTTAGAATAGGCCTTTTCGTGACCGTTAGAGTCGTTTGAATGTTTTTTAACGTCCAACTACTAAGGAATTCTAAAGAGAAGGAATATTATTAAAGCCGTTCCCGGCGGAGTGAGGTAGTTGTTGATAATGTGACGACCTTAAGCGATTACTTAAAAGAACTCACGGGAGCGCGGGGTTCACATAAAAGCTTAAGAGAATCTTAAAGTAATGACTTAGAATCAACAACTACCGAGTATAGAGGTCGAAGGTAGCTGAGGTCTATATACACGAAGGTAGAAGCGCCAAGGACTCGTGAACTATGGTTCATAGGTCAAAAGCGAGGAATAAGAGAATACGAAGAATACGAAAGGAAAAAGGAGGGAAGTAGCTTGGCGCATGTGAGGTGCGTCCAGGAGACCTGGCGTGTCGTCACACTTTTTTCCTTCGTATTCTCTCATTCCCCACTTTTGACCCATGAACCATGGTTCACGAGTCCTTGGCGCTCCTACCTTCGTGTATATAGACCTCAGCTACCTTCGACCTTTACACTCGGTAGTTGTTGATTCTAAGTCATTACTTTGAGATTCTCCTGAGCTCCTATATGAACCCCCGCGCTCCCGTGAGTTCCTTCAGGTAATCGCTTAAGGTCGTCACAACGTGCACGTCACTTAACAGCTTAAACGCTTTTCCGGCTCTTCCGGCCTTTCCGGCTCGTCTTACGGATTCTCTCGATCTTCGGCTCTTTTTTTTTAAAACCGCCCTCGCACGTTAACGAGCCTTCTTTTCGGCGACTTAATAGACCTTTCAACAATCGACCGCGCTTAACAACTCGAGCAATTGCAGCACGCTAACGAGCTCGGCGCTATAAAGCTTATTAACGCTCACGAAGCTGATTAAACTTAGCTATTAGAAGACCGATACCTTACTTTTTAGCATGCTCTTTACAGCACTCTTAATTAGCGCGAAGCTTAGCGCAAATCAAATCGCTATACCCGTTGCGGTACAATCGACCATTAGATAGCTGGCTGTACCTTCTTTCCGGCTAAGCCTTTAATAAAAAAGCGAATTCTTTAAGACCTTTTTTCGGACCGACCCGTCAAGGAAAATAAAGGTTTAAGCGAGTTTAACTCGGACGAAAAAGAAGAAATTTTAGCGAAATAAAACGCTTCTAAAAGCTACGACGCTAACCTTGACGATTATCGCGATCTATAGCTTCGGCGTATTTTTTTTGGTTTTTTTTTAGCAATTCTACTCGTAAACTATAGTTTACGATTGAATTTTTTTCTTTCTTCTATCAAGTACTTTTTAAGAGAGCTAAGACCGCTCTCTAAAAGGGTAGTGTAACAGCCTGCCTTGTTACTTGCAGTCAGCTGATTACCTATCTAGGCCTAGCGCTTATGGCCATGTATATAGACCTTCTTAAGCTCCCCGAGCTTCCTGTTTTCCCTTCCTCACTTTGTATTCTAAGGTCAGAATTCATCAGTTCGTCACAATCAGCTCCCTTGAGCATTAAGGAACAGACAGAATTCAGATACCTTATCAACCGAGTGTTTTGCAATTGCAAGTACTTTGACGAACGTTACGACCTTACGAATATATTCCCAATCGCTTGGAAGCAATCCAACATCAACCTTAACACTTAATTACAACTACATTTAACTTAAGTAATTATTTTATTTTTTTGATTCTTTGCTTTTTGATTCTTTGCTTTAAGCTAATTATTTTCTTTATTTAATAATGTCGATCCTCTTTTTTTATAACGCTATAGTCGAGGTCAACCTTTTTAGCACCGATAGCAACCGGCTAATCAACGAAATACCTAGTCGCTATAAGGATTTCGTAATCGTTTATATTGATAGTAACGTTATTAATTTAATGTTTACTTGCTATAATAAAGAAAATACCGTTTTATTTTTAAAACTAATCGGCTTCGATTACGAATAAAAAAGTCGTAAAGGTTTTGTCGACGAGTTCGGCATTAAGCATTACGGTGTTAATAAAGTTAATAATAATATTTATATGTTATAATTATTAATTGATTTTTTATTTAAAAGAAGAGCGCTTAAGTCTTTTGTCTCTTCGACCACTTTGTTTTTTTCTTTAACTAAATTAAAAAGCAATTCACTTATAAGGATATCAAAGTTCGATTGATCTTAAGTGATCTTACTCTTAAGCTTTTCGATAGCGATTATGCCGAAGCTAAAAGCATCTTAGAAAAGCTATTGCTATTATATCTCTTTACTATCGATAGCACTTTAATATACAAACGCTTTACTTTTAAGTTCTCGGATGAGAATGAGTTTAGGTAAAGCAATAAGTGCTAAAAGCTAAAAGAGCTACTTGAGTCAAACGAGATTCATTTGAACTATGCTTATAAGCAAGAATTTAAGCTAAAAGCGAAGACCGAGTTAAACGTATTTTACGTAACTGCAAAAGGACGGGTCTTTATCAACTTTTTGTAACTAATAGACTTAAGCTAAAGAACGGGTCTTTATTAACCTTTAGGCCTTTGTAACTAGTAAATTTAACTAATACTTTAAGTCTTTAATTAATAAATGTGATTAGTAAATGTGATTAGTAAATGTGATTAGTAAATGTGATTAGTAAACTT